TTTAAAAATTTAAAAATTTAAATTCAAAAAAAAAAAAAAAAGCGCCCATATTAATTACAAAAAAATTAAAAAAAAAAAAAAAATAAAATGGTTAAAAAAATAAAAAATTTTTTTTTAAAAAATAAAAAAAAAAAGGGCGGAAAAGAAACAAACTATGATGTGCATATTTGAACTGTTATTTTGGATCTATTGGCAAATTTTAAAAGTGGATAAAAATGAATAATTTTTTTTAAAAAATAGATAAAAAAGAGATAATATTTTTTTAAAGAAGTGGATAATGAACACGATAACGATAATCGGTAAAAATGGAGATAACGATAATTTTAGAACTCTAGTTATTTATAAGATTTTTTATTATTTTTTTTTCATTTGGTTTAATTTAGGATAAAGTGAAATTTAAGAAAATTCAAAAGTAAACTAAAATACAAAATAGTATTGATTTTTAAAACCTCATCCAGTATAAAAAAAAAGAAAAAGTCGAGTACACTTAAAAACAATAATCAAAATTTTAAAAAATAATTTAATTTTTATAATAAAAAATAAATAAACAAAATTTTATTTGACTATAATAAAGAAAAATAAAATATTTCATAAAAAAAAAAGTAATTTATTTGTATATTTTTAATGCTATTAACATAGAACTATTTTATTTATTTAATTTTTTGATGGTAGTTCTTTGTTGTTTTATTTATATATTATTTAAGACTTGCTGGTGATGTTTCTAGGTTCAATCTTAGTCTCTTATTGGATGTACATTTCACTTTCGATATTATAACTTTTAATATATTTTCTACAACCGAGTGACTTGTTACTTTAGTGCTTATTAAGTGATTGAAAAATTATGATTATCTTCTGTTTTTACCAATTATCGTTATCACAGTAGGGGAATAATACCTGATTTTATTGTTTTCTAATTTCATTTTCATTATAAGCTGTCTTTGGGTGTTGTCTGTGATTCTTTCAAAGTATACCCCCAATTTTTAGTAAATATCAACACATTACCATAGCCATTTTAAATTTTTAATATAATATTTATTTTTAAAAATCTAATAATTTTTTTAAAAAATTTTTTTTTTTATTTTTTTTTATTTTATTTATTTATATTATTTTTTTTTTATTTTTATTTTTTCAATACACAACAAACAAACAAACAAACAAACACATAAATAATTTTAATAATGTAAACTATAGCACATCCAATAAATAAAAATTTTAGCATTACTGAAAATATGTTTAAAACCTTTCGAGAACTAGTAAGTAAATTAATACATTATTTTAAAACAACAACAACAACAACAAACCCACACACATACATATAGAAAATGGCATCGTTGAAGAAATAGAAACAGAATTACTAACATAAATTAAAATAGCTTTTATTAATATTCCAAAGCCAGATTTACTAATTAAAACCATTCAATACCCTTACAGGATCTGCTGTCGTCGATATTATGAATGAAAGGATTTTAATCAATTATATAAAGATTTGGCCAATAAACCTAACCACGAAATATTACTTCTATATTATAATAATCTCAAAACTAATATCAATAACAGTGATAGAACACAAATAGTTTAGATAAGGAAAAGGGTAAACTTCAGCTTTCGTAAATATTGCTCAAATAGTGAAACACTCCAATGGTTTTAGCTTATCGAATATGACCCCAAAGAATTTAGCATCTGATGGAGGTTCAAGTTTCATAGAGGTTATTTATTCATTGTAGAAATGAAAATTAAAACCTAAGTAGATTGCAACTTATGCTTGGAATTTATCTTTAATTAAATCATAATATGCAAGATATATTATAAATCAAGCTAATAACCACAATTTAATAATGAATGATGGTGTCTAAATAGCTAAAAGTGAATATTAGAATATGACCTACCCGAAATCTTTTCAGTATTAGGTTCTGAACCATCATCAAAACAGGATTTTAGCAATAAACCAAATAATTCAAAAAATCAATTAAGTATATATTTAAATATCGAATTAAATAAATTTAATAATACAGTGCCCGGATTATATATGTAGACCCCCCCAACTTTTATTAAATCATTTATAAAAAAAGATTTACCAATAATAGTTTTTAAATGAAGAACCTTACCGCCAATAATTATTAATTTTTAGAAATAAATGGTAAGGAGTGGGTGTGGGTAAAATAAAAAAATAATAAAAAAAAATTTCTATATTTTTTACCACATTTTTATTTTTAAAATTTTTATATTTTTTTTATCATTAATTTAATAAGTAAGAGTTAATATAAGTTTAAAAATAGAATATAGTAAATAAACAAAATGAGGTTAAGTGATGAAGTTCGATACTCAATATTATCATTTAAAAACAGAGGTCACAAGTCGAACTCAAAAATTGCAAAAAAATTAGAGTGCATAAATCAAAAGTAGCAAAAACATTAGAAAAGGTAGAACAAACAGGCACAATCAATGACCGTAAAAGTCATGGGAGAAGATAAAGTTTGACGAACGTGATGAACTTGATTTATGTTTCAATACTGTATATCACAATATTTAAATACCCCAGTATTAGTCATCCTTGTAAAAAAAATTGTATAACTCAGTTAATCAATAAATTAATAATCAGTCCTCAGTTATTAGAAACCTTTAAGAAAGCTAATATTAAAACATTTTATAAATTAATATTGTGCCAAACCAAAGACAGTCTTCATTAAGAAATAACAGTCACACCCAAACCTTACCAAATTCGACTTATTATTATATAATTAATAAAACGCCTCACATTTTTCAGGACTATCACTGCTGCGGGTGCTGCTGCAGGTTGCTACTGAAGGTAGGTAGCTCTTCAGACGCATCAGAGGACTTCAAGAGGCTCATCAGATAGCATATCATCTACTAGAGGTTCATCAGATAGCAGTTCATAGCCATTAAAAAATATTTTCTGCTTCAAGTGCCCCTGCCATTAGGGAAAACGATCAAGTATTAAAAGTAAAATACATTTCATTAGAAAAGCATTTATTTCAAAAAGAAGAGGAGAATAGAGAACTTTTAGAACAATTAGAATTATCTCAAGAAGGTCTTCAATCCGAAAATTAATTGTACAATATTAAATCAGAGATTACAATTATTCAAGATAAATTTAGTAAAAAATCTTTCCACACTGTTCATGATACTTCAGAAGAAAGAATGAAAGAAAAGTTAAATATTTTAAGAGAATAAACAAATCTTCAACTTTTAAATATAGTGCCCTCAAAGAATCACTCTTAAGATCTCAAAAATAGATGTAAATAGGTTATTGATTTAGAATTTGTTTAAGACGAATATCAAGATGGTAATACTAAACTTACTGACCGTATAAAGCGTTACAATAAACCAGGTGGAAATGATCAATAGATAATGTCAATTCAAACAAATTTTGACGAAATGACAACATTTAAACACATTAAAAAATGAAAATACTATTCTCAAATCAGAAATTGAAAAAATTACACATCCTAAGAGGCCAAAATATTATAATTTTTAAGTATTATTTGATTCTTTTATTTAAATTATTAGGGCACGGTAACATCAATTCGTGTGTGATTCGGAAACTTGAGAGACTTTTATATTTTTTTTATTTATAAAAAATTTATAAAAATTAATTTTTTTAATTTACAAATGTAATAGCTTTTTTTTTTTTTTAAATATTTGTACATAATAGCATTCTTTTTTGTGATTAATGAATAAATTATCAATATCATTATTATTATTGTGTGTGCAGAAATTTTCATATACAAAAATTAATTATTTTTTTTATTTTTTTTTTTATTTTTTTTTTATTATTATTGAATTATAATAAAGAATTTCTTTTAGTAAATATAAGAAATTATAACCAAACTGGGAGTGGAACGAGTGGCTGGAGTATCTCTTGTGGGCAGTTTCTAGAGCTTCTATATTTTTCATACCAACACATTCCAATAATCTCTTCTAATTTCTAACACGATTCGAGGTAAGCTTGTGTTGCTTTTAATGGCTCATCCCTATAATCTCCACCTTTAATAAGTTTTTTTTTTTTTTTTTAATAGTTTTTTTTTCAAGTATTATTTGATTCTATTATTTTGAAATTATAAAGAATGATTGGAAAAAAAAAAAAAAAAAAAAAAAAATTTTCAAAAAAAAAAAAAAAAAAATTAATAAATAATAAAAAAAAAAAAATTAATTTTTAACCCCCCCCCCCCCTTTTTTTTTTTTTTTTATTTTTTAATTAAAAACAAACTTGTAGTGTTTAGTTTTTCCCATAAAATATAAGTTTATATGCTCAATATAAAATTTTTTTTTTTGAAAATAGTTTCAATTTGTAAAAATTAATGCGCTACCAAATAATAACTTCATTTAAGATTTAATTAAGAGGGTCTAACGTTAATTGGTCTGGTGAATTATAATGCGAATATGGAGCAAAGCATAATTTTTATATATCATCACGTCCATTTCCAACTTTTAGGGATGAAAAACCGATTTTTATTTCGCTTACTTTTTTATCTTTCGGGTGATCTGAATCAATAAGCTACTGATAATAAAAATTCTCTAGTTCTGTTAACCTTCATCATTTTTAAGTTGGAGTAAGTAAAAAAATATAATTTGGTTCAATTTTATATTCAATTTCCATTTCATCTGTTTCAGTATTTGTTGAAAAGCTTATAAAAACAACCAATCGCATTGGTTATTATCTTTTTTAACTTTTTTTTTTTTTTTTTCTTTTTTTTTTTTTTTTTTTATTAAAAATATAAAAACAAAAATATATTTACAAAAAAAAAACAATAAAAAAACAAATATATGTTAATGAAAAGAGTGATAAAAAAAAAAAAAAAATATGTTATTTAAAATAATTTATTTTTAAAAAAAAAATTAAAAAAAAAATAAAAAAATTAATTTTGAGTTTTTTGAATTTTTTTTTTTTATTTTATTTATAGACCATCATATACTGAATGTATTATTATGGTACATAATGAGGTATATATAATTACAAAAGTTTTGCACTACCTACTGTCTATCAGTTAAGAGTTGCTGAATAAAAAAGTAAGTTTATTAGAAATTAAATTAAAAGTAAGTGGTAATAACATTTAGACTATTTGGTTATTGTTATAAAGTAAACACATGTATTAACTATTTGAATTATTAATTATAATACAGGTAGATGAATATATATTAATAAAATCTAGAGATATTCAGCTTTAATTAGTTTACTATACAAAAAGAAAAAAGAACAGCTACACATGTTTGATTTTGTAGAATGTGCATACTCTTTAGATAATATAGAAGCATTGGAGTATTTCCTATCAATGAATGTACCAACATTTTAACCAAACTGCACAAATAATAATAAAAGTTTTTCAATATCATCAATTAAATCATTAGAATTACTATTAAAATATCTAGTAAATATCATAGAACCTAATAATATCAATATCAATAATAACAATAATAACAATAACACAACAGCAGCCTCATAATCACAATCATCATCATCATTCAGTTTAAAAAATAGTAATAGTAATAATTATACAACAACAGTAGCAATAACATTCAATTTAAAAAATAGTTTTAGTAAAAGTAGCAACAATACAACAACAGCACCGGATCCTACAACATTCAGTTTACAAAATAGTAATAGTAACTATAATTTAAATAGTATTAGTGAATATAGCAATCTAAATAATTATAGTATCAGTTTAGCCCGAAGCGCAAGTTGTAATAGTAATGATAGCAATGGAAGTAGCGTTAGTAGCAGTAGTAGCGGTTGCAACAATAAAAACAGTAATAGCTTTTTAATTAATAATGGTAATATAACACTTCCACCACCACCATCATCATATAGAAATTTAATAAAGAGGAATTAAAATCACTACCAAATTATGTTCTGCTACTTTTAAAAACATTAAATATCGATAATATTCAGAAGGTATTATATAAGTTTAATTCAAACAGAGCAGACTACCCAAAGATTACCTATGAAGCTATAAAGAAATGTCTCAAGTATTCAAATATTGAAGATTTAGAAAAACTGGGTGAAGATTCATATCATTTATTCAAACACCATAATTATTTATTAATATAAAAATAGATTTTCATTTATTAATCTTTTTATATATGCATTAGAAGATTTCTTATTTGCTTTCTCTATAGCATTATTAATAAAGTATTATAAAATAAAAAGCAACTACCACAAAATAATAATATCGATAATAAAAATAAAAATGATGATCCAACCATAGTTAAACTAATCGATTGGTTTTTATAATAAAGAAAAATAAAATATTTCATAAAAAAAAAAAATTATTTATTTATTTGTATATTTTTAATATTATTGAATTATAATTATAACATAGAAATATTTTATTTATTTAATTTTTTGATCATAGTACTTTGTTGTTTTATTAATATATTATTTAAGACTTGTTGGTGATGTTATTGGGTTCAATTTTAGATTCGTTAATTGGATACATCTTTTGATATAATTACTTTTAATATATTTTCAACAACTGGGTGACTTATTAATATTACTTTGTTTATTATTAAAGCGACTGTTTGATTATTTATTATTTTAGTTATCTGTAGCAGTAAAAGTTTTATATTTTTTGTAATTTATACTATTATTAGAAATGCGTGTAGATTTAATTGTTCTGCAATATCGAATTGGATTCTTTTGTTAATATGAGTTGAAATAAAAACAATCGCCTGCACTATCTTCAATGATATTTAAATCTAAAACAGCAACACCATTGATACAACTTGAACCAACTGCATATAATAAATTCGTTTTTGAAATACATGCAGCGATCAATGCCAATGTTGAAGCAATAATAACTAAACCCATAAGTCATCTTTTAATTGTAAAACCTGTATATAATTGAAATTGTAAATAAATGAGTCGATTTGAATACTTGTTTTATTTGATTTGAAATCTCTGTTGTTTTGTATCACATTTGGTTTTTTGTTGTAGTCTTTTTCATTTTGTGCTAAACTGTTGATTGCTAATTCACATTTAAAAATTACTTGTGGTTCATAAACTGACTCTATAATTATAATATGACGTTTACTTGGTAAGTCTGATTATAATTCAAAGTTTGCATTTATAAAGTAGAAAGAATGGTGAGAGATGCCATTTGATAAACATTGGTAAAATCTTTATATTATTGATTAAAATCCTTTCATTCATGATATCGACGACAGAAGATCCGGTAAAGGTATTGATTTATTTTAATTGGTAAACCTGTCTTTTGATAATTAATAAAAGTTAATTTAATTTGTGTTTGTGGATCTGTGTCTATTTTCTATATTTCTTCAACGATGCTAATTTCTAAATGTGTGTGGGTTTATTGTTGCTGTTGTTGTTGTTTTAAAATAATGTATTGATTTTCTAACTTGTTCTATTAATATTTTGAACATACTTCAGTAATGTTAAAATTATTATTTTGGTTTGATGTGCTATATTTTACATTATTAAAATTATTTGTGTGTGTTTGTTGTAAAGCCATTTTTAATTTTTAAAATAATATCTATTTTTAAAAATCAAATAATTTTATTAAAAAAATTTTTTTATTTTTTTTTTTTATTTTTTTTTTTTATTTTTTTTTTTTATTTTTTTTTTTTATTTTATTTTTTATTTTTTTTTTTTATTTTTTTTTTTTATTTTATTTTTTATTTTTTTTTTAAAATTTTATTTTTTTATTTTATTTTTTTCGATCACAACAAACACATAAATAATTTTAATAATGTAAACTATAGCACATCTAATAAATAATAATAATTTTAATAGTACTGAAAATATGTTTAAAGCCTTTCGAGAACAAGTAAGTAAATTAATACATTATTTTAAAACAACAACAGCAACAACAAACCCATATACATAAAGAAATTTGCATCGTTGAAGAAATATTGAAAATAGAAACAGAATTACTAACATAAATTAAATTAACTTTTATTAATATTCAAAAGGAAGATTAATTAAAACCATTCAATACCCTTACAGGATCTGCTGTCGTCGATATCATGAATGAAAGGATTTTAATTAATTATATAAAGATTTAGACTATGTTTATCAAATGCACAGCGAACCTATTAAAATAGATTTTATAATATTTACAAATAATAATAAATACCAACCCATCCACGAACTATTGCTCAATAATAATAATAATAATCTCAACATTTATAGCAATAACTATCACAAAGTCTCAGAAACTCAAATTCTTTCAAAGTCTTTCAATCTTGGGCAACTATTTATATAAATCTTAATACATTTGCTTTGGCCCAAGCAACAGTTGTCGTTTCAATAAACAAATTCTTTAAAGTAACTCCAACTTTCGCTTGCCATAATTAAACATATGGTTTAACAGAAAAGTTTAATTCAACTTAATTCACAAGTGCCTAGATGTTATTGTAAAGAAGACAATACAAATGATCCACCACAACTTATTGGTATTGCTTTATTCTCATATAGATTGCTACTTATGCTGGTAATTTATCTTCAATTAAATCAAAATATGCAGGATAAAGAATAAATCAAGCTAACAACCACAATTTAATAATGTTGACGGCGTCTTAATAGCTAAAGGTGAATATTAGAGTTTGGCCTACCCGAAATATTTTCAGTATTAGGATTTTAGCAAATAATTCAAAAAAAAAATCAAGTTTGGTAATGTTTCTCAATTACTCGACAATCCAAATAATTTAGGTAATCTAGAAGCCACCCATCAAATGGTAAACAAAGATCTTTTACACCATATGCAACAAGCCAATCGTTTACATGAACTTTGTAATCAAGAGGGTGATGATTTAGAAATGGATATTTTCGCCGCTGTCAATTCAGTTTCAGAATCATTAAAAGATTTATTCCATGACTCTAAAGGTTCCTCAAGATTAATTATAGATCCCGAATTACAAAGTAAATTTATGGATGCAGCTAGAAAAATTGGTGCACTCACTCAAAATCTATTTGAAAGTGTACGTCTTCAAGGTGGTCAATGTCAAGATGATGATGATCGTAAGAGATTTACAAATAATTTAGCTTCATATAAAGGTGGTGTCAATGCATTGGATGCATTAGCTCAACAAGCCGATGCCGATAGGATCAGGAAAAAGAAAAGAAATATTTAGAGGTTTCGACCTCGGTCATAATGCCGAAAGAGAATTATTAGCTGCTGCTAAAACCATTGAAGATACGGCTAATTCTTTATTGGCTGCAAAGTCAAAGATAGAACCAAAGAAAGAAGGAGATGCTCTTGATGTCGCTGAAGCTATGCTGGAAGCCGCTATGGTAATTACTAGTGCTCATTAACTTTGGTCGGTGCTGCGACATTGGCTCAAAGAGAACGTGTCGAAAATGGTAGAACTAGTAATGGGGTCCAATGTATAAAAATATCCAACTTGGGCTTAAGGTTTAATCTCTGCTGCTAAAGCTGTCACTGCCTCTACCTCTCAACTTTTTTCCGCTTGTAAATCTTATATTAATTGTCTATCACAACATAAACTTACAAACGCTGCAAAGAGTGTACAAATGCTACAAACTTATTAGTTGCCGCTGCAAAGGTTGTTTCAGAAGAAGAAATTGATTTCGATGAATTATCTGCAACAGGTTTAAAAGTTAAATAAATGGAACAATAAATGGCAATTCTTAGATTATAAAAAGAATTAGAAGAAACTAGAAAAAGGTTAAAATATAACTACATTTTAGAAGAATTAAAATCAAATAGTAATAAATCAATTTTATTTGCTTTGAACATAGATGATACCAAAAGGAATTCATTTCGAATCTAGCTCAATTAATAATTTATAATGGAAGGTTAAAGATATCAAGTGACGTATGCTCATCTCGCGAATTTATGGCTTTAAAAGAAGGCTCAACTGTTATTTCAGTTCAAAATAATGGAATGAGAGAAGAAATTCGTATTTTTGCTTCTCCACCAGCTGATCAAATAGAAGTTTAGGTTCATCGGCCGAGGTTTTTTTCTGTGGTGGTAAAGTTCCATCAAGTGTAGTGCTTAAGAATCTTTTACACCAGGTAGTGAATTATTTGTTTATCAAAGGTTGATGTACCGAATCTGTTCCATCAAGCTATGCATAACCTCTGGACAAAGTAGTAGAATCTATTATATTGGGTAGTGTAGAATTTTGTTTAGTTTTTGATAAAGTTGTATCAAGTGGTATATATTCCGAACTCATCAAATAATTTGGGACCTGTTTCGTCAAGTTTTGCAATATCTATTGTATTTTTGGTATTTGTTGTCGTAACGCAAAGCCTGTCATCAAATATTAGAATAGAATCTATTGCACCAAGTTGTAGCTATTCATTAAAATTTGTGTTGTTTATTTCATTATGTGGTGGTAATACAGAGCATTTTTCATCAAGTGGAACTAAGGAATAATTTATATAAGGAAGTTTCGTAAATCGTGTGGGTTTCTATAAACCTCAACTAGTGTAGAATATGAATCAGGTAGTGTAGAATCTAATTCATAACGCAAATAGTTTATTTTATCAAGTAATGGTGGTTTAGAGTCTGAATCAAATAAATCTACTAAATCAAGTAGTGTAGAATATCCATAATCAAGTAATAATGTAGAATATTTGATATCAAATAGTAGTAGTTTAGATTCTGGATCAAACAAAGCTGTAGAATCGTGCATCTAATACAAATTTTCTCATAGATAAGTAATAAGCATCGTAATTAGTCACCCAGTCACAGAAACAAAATAAAAAATAACCCTACGTCCATTCGCCCTCATTTTTTAAACTCTGGTAAATCAGCTGAATCAAAACTCAAACCGGCTGCAATAATATCGAATTTGATTTTACAAATTAAAAAATGTTAGTTAGTTGATATAGCGTTCTATAATAACTCTTATAGACATTGGGTGCATGTTTATTATGTATGAAAGAAACATTGGTTTGATGAAACCTAGAACCAACTTTCAAGTCTACACTATTGAAGCTAATCAATATAATCAAATATTTTACGAATATCAATGATTTGCTCTGGCCAAGCAACTATGATAGAAATAAAATAGTTTTAGGAAGAGAAGGTAAAGGACACCGAAGCTTTCATAACTAACATTGATCATAATAGGGAACATCAAAACTCGCCACTTCAAGAAGTCCATTAAACTTTAATGTTCATTCACCATCAAAATAACCACAGTAAAAATTTATAAATTTAAATCAACTATCGGAACATGTAAATATTATAAAAACCCTACCCTCCATTAATTGGTAATAAAGATCCACGCACAATTAGACCAATCAATATTTTTATAAACAAAATAAATTAATTATAATATAAATAAAAAACAATTATAATAAAAAAAATAAAATAAAAATTACAATGTATTAGATTATTAGAAATTTTTTTTTTAAGTAATAAGAAAGGTGACTTAACAACCACTAATAAATGATGTTTTAATTTAATAATAAAAAAAATAATAAATTAATAAAAAAAGACACCATTTATGTGAAAATTGTTAAAAATATATATAAAAAATTTAATTTTTTGATTGTATGTTTTATTAATATATTATTTAAGACTTGTTGGTGATGTTACAAGGTTCAATTTTAGTTTCGTCTATTTGGATATAAATTTCATCTTTTTGATATAATTTCTTTAAATATATTTACTAAAACTGTTTGACTTTTAACTATTACTTTTATTGTTAAGGTTTTTATTTAATTTTTTATTATTATCTGTTGCAGTAAAAGTTTAATTATTATTGATCATTTTATATAACTATTTACTATTTTAAATATTAAAATTCTTTAGTTTATTTTTATATAGTAAATAATATTCCTCTTGAATATTACCAATATTTAATGTTTTTAAAAGTAGTATATAAATTGGTGATGATTTTAATTCCTCTTAATTAAATTTCTATATGATGATGGTGGTGGTGGAAGTGTTATATTACCATTATTAATTAAAAAGCTATTATTGTTTTTATTGTTGCAACCGCTACTACCGCTACTACCGCTACTCCCATTGCTATCATTACTATTACAACTGCTTATACTACTACAACTTGCGCTTCGGGCTAAATTGATACTATTATTATTTAGATTGCTATATTCACTAATACTACTATTTAAATTATAGTTACTATTACTATTTTTTAAAATGAATGTTGTAGGTTCTGGTGCTACTATTGTTATATTGTTATTACTATTACTATAACTATTTTTTAAACTGAATGCTAATGATACTGTTGTTGTATAATTATTACTATTACTATTGTTTAAACTGAATGATGATGATGAAGCTGAAGCTGCTGTTGTGTTATTATTGTTATTGTTATTATTGATATTGATATTATAAGGTTCTATGATATTTACTCGATATTTTAATAGTAATTCTAATGATTTAATCGATGATATTGAAAAACTTTTATTATTAATTGTATAGTTTGGTAAAAATGTTGGTACATTCATTGATAGGAAATACTCCAATGCTTCTATATTATCTAAAGAATATGCACATTCTACTAAATCAAACATGTGTAGCTGTTCTTTTTTCTTTTCGTATAGTAAACTAATTAAATTTACATCTCTATTAGTCTCTAAAAAAAGCTTAATATCTCTAGATTTTATTAATATATATTCATCTGCCTGTATTATAATTAATAATTTAAAATGTTATTACATATTTTTACTTTATAACAATAATCAATTAGTCTAAATGTTATTACCACCTACTTTTAATTTAATTTCTAATAAACTCCAAAATTTTCTTTTTACAATATAGCCCAATGATCTTATGTTTAAATTTAATTCTATTAAAGTAGAATTGGTTTATTGTGGTTGCAGCTGCGGTTGTGAATGTTGGGTATTAAAATTGGTCATGGGTTTTGATGAATAGTTTTTGCATACTGGTGTTGGTTCTATCATTTTAATACAAGATAAAAATAGTATTTAGTTATAAATAAATCATATAAAAAAAAAAAATTGAAAAATGAAAAAAAAAAAAAAAAAAAAATTTTAATTTTTTTATTTTTTTTATTTTAAATTTTAAATTTTTTTTAAATTTTGTCCAAAATTAAATTTGATATTTTTTTAAATATCTAATAAAATTTGATTTTGATGGGGTTTTACTATTTTTTAAAATAACTTTTTTAAAAAAAATAACAACAAAATGATTTTATAATCTATCTCCTTTCCAAAAACCAATTAATTTTTAATAAAGAGTTTATTGTTTCAAAAAAAAAAGTTTTTCTTTTGAAAATCTAATGTCTAATTTTTATTTTATTTTTTATTATAATTGTTTTATATTAATATTATTAATTATAATATAAATAATTTTGTTTATAAAAATATTAATTGTGCCTGGATCTTTATAAAAGTTTAATGGACTTCTTGGTTACTGTAAAGTGTAATTCTAGTTTTATTAAAACATAATATTATTATAATAAAAATAAAAAAAATAAGAAAAGTAATAAAAAAAAAGATAAAAATTAATTATCTTTCAGTAAAGATTTGACCTCTACTTTTTTTTATAAGGAAAATAAAAAAAAAATAAAAAATAAAAAATAAAAAAATATAAAAAATAAAAAGACAGTATTTTTAAAAAATAAGTTATTTTTTATATATATTCACCTTTTATTGATAAAATAAAAATAAAAAGTACAGGATTTACACAAGAATTAAAATTTTTGATCATACTGGGTCAAAACAAACTTGGAAATACTGTAACTTGAATCTCTTGAGTACTCTTTCATATGTTAATTCGTAGGTGAAATGTTCATGATTTTCTTGTTTCTTTTGTACGACATTTGTTCGAAAATTAATGCTATTAAATTTGCTAGGAATGGTTTATCCAGTTTGGTAAATAGGTGTTCGTCACATACTACATGTAAAAGAGTGGGTAATCTTCTATCTGGAAAACAGATAAACAACCAAAACAAACAAACAAATAATAAATAATAAAATACCTTTTAATAAGCTTTGAAAGAAGCTATCGCATTACTTTTTATGGGAAAACCTTTATAGGCTAAAAAACCCAAATATATCTATATATATATTTATTAATTTATATGTGAGTGTCTAACACTACAGGATCGTACTGAAACACTTTGCAAGAAGCTATCGTATTACTTTTTATGGGAAAACCTTTATAGGCTAAAAAACCCAAATATATCTATATATATTTATTAAAATGTGAGTGTCTAACACTACAGGATCGTACTGAACTTCTTTTAAAATTTGATTTATTATTTCTTGTACCGGTTTATTGACCGATGGACACTTGAATAATATATGTTCTGATGATTCTTTGTCTGGACATAACGGGCATAGTGGTTCGAAAATTTTTGGCAATGCTTTCAGCAAGTATCTCCAGAGTAGATCTCTCCCCTTTACTGGTATAAGCTTTCTGGCTAGGGCAAACGGTAATTCTTGTTTGATTTTTTATGCTAATATACTTTGGGTTCCACTGGTTTTTGTTTCAATTAGAGTTGTTTTTGTTCAAACCTTATGGAGTCTTTATTCTTAAGTTTCAATAACAATGTTCGGATGGTGTAGTTGGTTATCACGAATCCTTAACACGGATTAGGTCGTGGGTTCGATTCCCGCTCTGAATATTTTTCTTTTTGAAGTACATATATCTTCTGGAAGATTTGAATTTCATGGACACACCTAACTTTTAAAAAAAAAAAAAACATTACATTGACGTACCTGAAATTTAATTGGATTAAACATATCAAACTTGTATCACAAAAAAAAAAAAAAGAAGGGCCAGCTCAGCTATCTTTACCAATAAGATATAAGAAATAACCGGAAGATCGTTTCATCTGCTGCAATAGTTTTATATATGTAATGAACAAGGATCATTACTCATCAGTGCTGGCATCTTCCCTTTTAAAAAAAAAAAAAAGTGCAGAGAAAAATAATTTACTTACCTGTTACTTATTACCTGTTGCTGATTAATTTACCTTCTGTCTTCCTTTTACCTACCTTTTACTTACCTTTTACCTACCTTTTAATGATTAATTTTTAAAGTAATTTAAAGTAATTTACCTACCTAATACCTACCTGCTACTTATTACCTATTCCTGATTAATTTACCTTTTACTTACCTTTTACTTACCTTTTACCTACCTTTTAATGATTAATTTAAAGTATTTTAAAGTAATTTACCTACCTGTTACCTACCTTTTACTTATTACCTGTTCCTGATTAATTTACCTACCTGCTACTTACCTTTTACTTATTACCTGTTCCTGATTAATTTACCTTTTACTTACCGTTTACTTACCTTTCACCTACCTTCTATTATTAACTTAAAGTATTTTAAAGTAATTTACCTACCTGCTACTTACCTTTAACTTTTTACCACTTACTGATTTATTTACCTTTTGCCTACCCTTTACTTACCTATTACTTACCTTTTACCTACCTTTTAATGATTAATTTTTAAAGTACTTTAAAGTAATTTACCTGCTACTTACCTAATACATATCTGCTACTTATTACCCGTTACTGATTAATTTACCTTTTACCTACCTTTACTTACCTTCTACCTACCTTTTAATGATTAATTTTTAAAGTAATTAAAGTA